CTTTTTAGGACGAAAAGTTTTATGAAGTGGAGGAAGTAAAACAAATTTCTGAAGTTTACGAAAGTTTCTCGCTAATACACGTTTAGTCGCTGTTAGAATGGAAATTGTGGGCATTACAAAGACTGTAGAAAATGTGAAAGGAAGAACAATAAACTTTTCAAAGCAGCTGAGTAACAATCTGATACTTATTCCAACAAAGCGATACGTTCAGCGAAAAGGAACCGACTTTAAGCAAAAGAGGAAGTCGACCCTGGGCTTACTGTCGTCTGAAGTCTATCTTTGAAGCGTATACGTTGTAATACTTTTAACCCAATGGGAATTCATCGTCCCTCTCTCGTCCAGATTTGGCCTTTCTTTCTGCGCCACCAACAAAGAAACCGGCGGGAAAAACAGTTGCCGTTTTCATCCGACAAATAAAATTCTTTAAATTATTTATAATATACTTTGGTAATGCATATTCAAATTTACCAAAGATTCTGCATTTCAAGATTTTTAGAAATTGCTCTTTAATTACACTTTTATCCTGATTAGGATCAGCCAGAACGAGTTCTCTAATACCGGGTATAGGAAAATGTCTCCAATACTGATATATAAGATATACCAGAATTAAAAGCAAGAAACAAAGAATCTTTAAAGCTTGACTCGCACGTTCATTTGCTTGCTATGTCGAAAGAGACGGTGTTTCAAGATGCAAAAATGGAGCTCAATTGAAACGACTTTACATTAGTGAGCTGACTTCATTTTTACTATGCTTTCTTTCAATAACGGTTAATCTAGAATGGCAAACTGAGGTGGAACATAAGAAGTTTAGTTCTGATGTTTTAATGTCGGAATCCCTGTTCCCTCCACTTTACGTGTCTTAACGGTAATGAGCAAAACTGGAAAGGTTGAACCTTAGAAGAGATTCGCTTGGACACGCACCTTGGTAGAGTATTGCTGTCTCAGTAATTTCGTCGGTGCAGCTTCATTCTATCAGTGGTTTTGTCTTCTCGGGTCTTCCACAGCAGTAATTATTACCTTGCTACTTATAAAAGCCTCAAACTTGATAAATCGAGAACAAGTGGTACAACGTGGTCTCAGAAGACTGACCAGATACTATGCGGAATTTGAATAAAACTGTCAGTGATCAAGACTCTAAAACGTAAAAAATGTTTTACTGAAGCAGTGACAAAGCAGTCACAAAAGCAGTGACGAAAAAGCAGTGACACTGAAGCAGTCACATTCACCGACTGACACCAAGAGATGAACCAGCAACTTACGGACCGAAACGATACGTATAAATACATAAATGTATTTATACCTGGAGGCAAATGGTGTCTGCTATAAACCTAAGTCTGCTTTTCTTGAGACAGTCGGAAGAACAAAATACTTGAGAACTTCGGCCGGAACTAATTTGTGTCATGTGACAATGTAAGTTATGTAAGCGAAAGTGAAAGAAATTGTAAGATTAGACAGACAGCTTTGTCTTCTAATAAGGTATTGCTACTTCCGATTTTTGTCCTGGGCAATGAAATGAGAGAAGTTTGACGGGGATCTAGTGTCACACCAGTTTCTGATTAAAATTTTCAATTGTAAATAAAAAATTATCATACAGATACAGTAAACTCGGAAAAAATGTAGAAATGATGTAAAAGAATTTTGAACTGGGTTTTTGTAAGATGAACGCTATTGGACGGTGTATGGCTAATTGTTAGTCGTCGCCGCTACAGGGCGATACAATATAGCAATTTTGTCTCTTCTCTGTTGTAAAATATTGCAAATTTTCTAAATTTCTTCTTCTGTATATAACACATACAATTGTTTATTACCGGTCACACACACTCTTTCTTCGTCATCTAGTCGTCGTCCATAGCTATACTAAATTACTCTAGAATATAAGTTTCCAACATACGGATGCATAACTTGGATATCATTGGAAAAAACAATATACTTCCAAGCTTTACTGCAGACACGGGAAAGAAAATGCGTAAAAGTTTAACGAACTCACTCTTCCAAGAACAGCTGCATGTACTTGCACAAAATAGCTTGTTTCTAGACTATTGGTTTTGGTAAAGGTAGCGTTTTATACCTTTTAAACATATCTATCAGTGAAAGATGTTTTCATGCTTATTTTTATAAAGAGTTTTTTCTCAACTATTGAAGGGTCTTCGGATAAAAATAGCACTAAATCTAATAAACGTCACACCTCAAAAACTACAACTTTTATTTCAGTTAATTCATAGCTCAAATCAGTTAATATCAGGTAATTTTCAAAAGGTAAGTGAGGTTTTTTGCGCTACTTTAAAGGCTTCTAGTCGATCTAGATAGATAAAGCGAACCTTTTGCAGTTAGTTCAAACATACTCGGATTATGTCTGTGCTACTGCGCTTAGCACTATAAACATTACTCTTTCAAATACAGTGGCTGTTAAAGCTGCTTTTTTTTTCTCCAGTTTCTTCGGATATAATTTTCTAAGTTAAATAGATGTTGAAACATGTATGGTCTTGGTAAATTTAAAAAAACTATATTTTGCACCTTCTTAGATTCAACCCTTACTTTGCAGTAACAGGAAGGGCTGTATTCAAAAATCTTAAATTGTAACCATTTATAAAACTGAGTAATTTATTCCAAATTAACAATAAACTGTTAGTTACTGTGAACCTTTATAGAGTGCTGTAGGTATTGGTAAGTGATAAAAAAAGTTATTGAAACAGTTTCATAAGAGTTTGTGCTAGAGTTCGCTGGCAAATTTGATAAGAAAATACCGATTTTCTTGAACTGACAATACAACACCAATTTTCTAAAGCAGGTCGACTCGACCTCAAAGAAGTGTTG